CCACGCACACACAGGAGGAGCGTGATCCTGCCACCACCAGCTCCACTCTGGGCCTGCAAGAGAACATGAGGACCTCCTGATCTCAGCCCCTGACTTCTGACTGAATACAACTCAAGGCTTCAGACTGGGGCCCTAGTGGGTCCCAGCCAGGGGGGAGGAGTCTCTCCAGGGAGTCTCCTGCCCCCTCATCCAGGCAGATTCCAGTTTGCCCACAGCTCAGGGTGGGCACTAGGAGGGACTGGTGCAATTCTGGGCTCTGGCTCCAACTCTGCATCCCCCAAGACAACTCTCAGCCACTCCTGGTCCCAAAGGCCCAGGCAGGGCAAACTCTCACACCTGTACCTAGCTTTATGCTTATTACCTGGGATCTTCGGTGTCCATCCCACTGCCTCAGTTTCTCTAGATCTGTGCTCTCCAACACGACAGCCACTAGACACAGGGGGCTATTTAAATATATTAAAATGGAATAAAATAAAAAACTCCTCAGTTGAACTAGCCACATTTCAATTGCTCAGTAGACACACATGGCCAGTGGCTGCTGTGTTGGACACCACAGGGTGTTTTCATCATCACAGAAGGTTCCTTTGGGCAGGTCTGCGTGCATCTTGTTTCTGCCCAGCCTCAGATATTCAGGCCCCCTGAACCTGAAGCTGTCAGGCTAGCCACACGACCCACATGGATAGCAAATGCCAAGGCCACTTTGGGACCTTAGTTTAAGAACTGCTGTACTAGAAGCTGTGGACTTAGAGCTCTTGATAGAGTGTCTGACTTAGCCCTGGGCTAGCACCACCTGACAGGTGTGGGCATCGAGCAAGGGTTTAATACCCTTGGCTAGTGTGTAGTGTGTTCATGTGCCACAAAGTGATTCATACACACTCCCATGTGCACCCCCACCTACACGCACACTACCACCCCCACACACACAGCCCTCCAGCCATGCTGTGTTTGAACAGCTTGGGCCTGCAAACACAGCCATCTGAGCACACCTACACCCCAAGCAGAGACACATGGTCCATGCTGTGTCTCCCCCATGGGGAAATGCTTCTTCCCTAGCGTGTCAGGCCAGGACAGCCTTTCTAGTCATGAATCCTTTCTCAGCTACCTCTGGCTGGGACGCAAGCCTGAGCCAAGTCCTCGGCTCTGTGCCTGTGGTCCAGCCCCAGCTTCCAGGCCTACCTGGCTCTGTCAGAACAGAAGGGCTGGGGAAAGTGAAGGTGGAGTACAATAAACAGGATTAGGATGGGCTCCTGGCTTCCTCGATTTCTTTCTAGACCTCTCAGAAGTTCAGTGCGCCCATCTGTGAAATGCAGGGTGGAGCTAAGCAATTGCCGAGGTCCCCTTCCATCTGTGGTGGGTAGTGTCGAGCTGACTTGTGTGCTCTAGACCCAGCAGGGTCTTGCATGGGCCACTGCCCTGGCCCAGCCCCGAATGGTAGTACTTGTCCCTCTCCTCCACAAGCCCCTCCTCTGGCCCTGGAAGGTCTGACATCGGACCTGTAGAGAACCCCAGAAGTGTCCTCATGAAATGGGTGAGGGAGAGGCTGGCTGTCCTGAGAGTGAGATCCGAGGGATCCCGAAGAAGAAAGGAAGGAAGGAGGTTAGTCAGCTTTTTATCATTGTGACAAAATATCTGAGAAAAACAACTTAAAGGAGGAGGTGCTTCATTTGGTTCACAGGTTTAGAGGTTTCAGTTCATGGCTTCAAGTCAGAAACATCGGGGTGGCAGGACATGGCAAAGGAAGCTTCTCAACTTATGGCAACTGGGAAATGGGGAAGGGAGGGAGTCAGAGAGGAAGGGCTGGGGAATAGTATAGTTCTTGAGGTCAATCTCTGTGACCACTCCTCTCAACTGGGCCCTACCTCCCGACAGGCCATTCAGCTGAGGACTCATCAGTGGATTAATCCATTTATGAAGTTAGCATCCTTCTGATCCAACCACCTCTCTAGGCCCTACCTCTGAACACTGCTACACTAGGGATCAGCCCTCAGTAGATGAGTCTTTGACGGACCCTTCCTCTTCGAACCCTAACAGAGGGGTTGACTGGAGACTGTGGAAGGGTTCCCCAGGGGTCCTACAGTGGCCATGATCCCCAGATCTGGATTGATAGCCACGTAGGTTTTCCACCATGATCTTTCTAGACCAACAAAACTTCCCACAGCAATGGAAGCGCTCTCTGTCTGTGTTGCTTGGTGAGGTGGCCACTAGCCTCGGGTGGCCACAGAGCCACCACTGAAAGGCGGCCAGTGCAACTGTGGAGCCATTTTCACTTTATTTACTTTTAATTCATTTAAGTAACCATATATGGATAGTGACTATTGGATTGGACAGCACAGGCTGGTGTCTCCCTTTCCCTTGGACCCTTGGCCCTCTGCCCTCTTCCCTGGCCAAGCAGGATAGCTCAGATTTTATAAGACATGAGCTCCCTCTTCCTCCTGTACACCCACCTGCTGTGTACCTCCTGTCCCCTTCCCTCCTGAATGGCAGAAAAGGGCTTCTCCTCCCTGTCCAACCCTTCTGCCCAGGGGTCTCCTCTCTCCCAGCCCTATTTGATCCTCTCCTCTGCCTCTGGCTGTGCAACTCCCACCCCTGCATCTGCCCACTCTGTCTTCATGACCACTCTTCCAGAAAGACCAGTTCACACTTTCCTCCCAATTGGCTTCCATCCCCACAGCTTCTAGATGTCCCTGCCAAGGTCACAAGCAGTGTTCTTGTTGCCAAATCTGCGCGGGCACTTCTGCCTGTGTCCTGCTTGGCCTGTCAGCATCTGACACCTTGGCCCAAGCTCTCCTTGTTCAGATTCTTTCCACCAGCTCCAAGGCCCTGCCCTCTCCTGGTTTCCTAGCCAGCCTGCTGTGCAGGGAAAAGAGGCCTCACTGTAGCTCGGCCACTGTGCCCCATGTGGCCTTGGGCAAGTTGCTTCACTCTGCAAGTCTCAGTGAGACAGCTTCTGCCAGGGTTGGGGTAAGATATCTGTAAAGTGCACAGAGCCTGGCACACAGGGAGTAGCACCTGGACCCTCAATCTACCCACCCATTCAATGGTGGAGCCAGCCAGTGTCCCAGACATACATTCTCCCTCTGGTGATAGAACCCTTGCTTCTTGGTTGGGCAAGTGGCTGTCTAGAATGGAAGTTGCATTTCCTGTTCTGCCTCTTGCAACTGGGTCTGGTCATGTGTCTAAGTTCAAACTAATGTGATGTCCAGGGAAAGCGTCATGTGATACCTACTAGGAACTTCCCTTAAAAGAGAGTTGGTGCAGATCTTTTGCCTTTTTCTTTATCCTTTTTGAGATACCACTCCCTGGAATGTATATGTGATGGCTGGAACTCTAGTCTCTATTGTGAACCATGAGCACAAGAGCCACACCTAGTAGTTGCTAAAGCAAAGCAGAAGGAACTGTATCTTTTCGGAGACCTCTGTGGAGCCAAGTCCTCATATCAGCTGAGGACCATCTTCTCTGAGGCTTATCTGTGGAACTTCTGTTATTGAGGTCAAAATTCTGATTCTGCCTGGTACCAAATTCTTTCCCCTTTTAAGTGTTTTGTCGTTGGCCCTGGTATTTGCTCTGAGTGATCCTTTTCCATGCCTGTATTTACAATTATGGGTCCTTTCTGAGAACATTCAAAACTGTCTCTTTGGGACTGGGGAAGTAGGTCACTGGTAGAGCTCTTACCTAGCATGTGTGAGGCCCCGGGTTTGATTCCCAACACTGCAAAAAACCAAAACCAAAACCAAAAAGTGTCTCTTTGCCCAGCCCTTTTTCTAGCACCTATGAAATATGTCAGGTGCAACCTCTGTCCTCTAGGAGCTTGTAGTCTAGATGGGGGACAGGCAGGTAAAGAGGTGCTGGGTACAAGGAAGGCCCTAGGGAAGGTGGCTAACTTTTCAGAGCAGTGAGGAGGTCCTGGGGAAGGTTTCCTGACAGAAGGGCACTGAACTGGCTCTAGAAAGACAGGAGTTAGGCAGGCAGATGGTAAGGGGTAACGCTCTGGGGCCTTGCCTGGATGCATTCCTGGGGTAGTAGTGAGCCACGGAAGATTCCCAAGCAGAGAATGACTGTGCCCTCGAGTTTTGGAAAGGCTGGTGGGAAGGGAGACTTCAAGGGGTGAGAAGCAGCACCCACTGCTGATGCAATGGGGCCCCGTGGGGTGGCCTGAGCTAAGGGCGGGGGTGGATCGTGGGTGGAGAGGAGTGGACAGATTCCAGGGACTAAGAGGCAGTGTGGCAGGGGCTGGTGCTAGACTGGTTGGGGCAGGAAAAGGTGGGCTGCAGGTGACTCCCAGGTTTCTGGCTCCAGTTTGAGGCAGGAACATGGGAGGCTAGGTTTGGGACAGTGCTGTGTAGATTCCCCACAGACAAAGTTAGCGGAACTAATCAAGAGCTGGTGAGCCCACCAGGGGAGAGGCAAGGGTATGGTCCCCAGGCACAGCTGCTGCAAAGGGCATCCTGTTGGGTTCCTTCCATTTCCCGTGCCCGAGCCACGTGTTTTCTGCCACCTGCTCAGAGCCCTCCCCCAAACATGAATAGGACCCTGACTCTAGCACTCTTTGCTAAATTATCCTCCTGGCCTTCCTGTCACTCACCGAGCCTGCCATTCACGCCCCGCGCCCCCAACCTTCCCCGGCCCTGACCGCTGCCTGGTCTCTGCTGATCAATCACGCCTCGTTCCTCCCTAGCAAGCAAGCCCCAAGCCTCTCCCCGGGAGAGAGGGGGCGCTCTTGTCTCTGCAGGTCGGGAAGGATGGACTAAAGGTTTTAGGGGAAGCACGCATACCCTTCAGCCTCAGCTAAGGGTCCACGACGCCGCCTAAGAGATTTCGGAGGACTCCGGTGCCCAGTCTCCGGGCGCTGGGGGGGCGTGGCGAGGTCCAGCCCCGGCGCTGAGCTCCTCCCTAGGCACCACCCGCTGCGGACCCTCCCCTCCAGAAATGGGCGGGAGCCCGGGCTCTGATTGGATCGCTCTGGGGGGGGCACGCGGCCGGACCAATGAGCGCGAGTTGGGCGCGGCCGGCGGGAGGGGGAGCGAGCGTTGCCTGGGGCCGCGGCGCTCCCGGTCTGAGCTCTTCTAACCCGGCCGGGTCGAGGCGGGTGGGGTCAAGCGCGCGCCGCAGGAGCGAGCCTGGCCGCCCGCCGGGCCGCGGAGACAGTCGCCCCGCGCCCAGGTAGGGACCGGCCGGCAAGGGACCTCGGCGGGGAGTGCATATGCCTGAACGACCGTCTGCTCTACGCCTAGTGGGGAGAGGGGTGGTCTGCGAGGCCATGTCTAGGAGGGCAGCCGGAACGTTCTCCTGCCAGGGATCCTCCCCCTCCGTCTGCGGGACCGCGTCTACGCTGTGTCTTTTGGAGCCTGCTCTGGCCTTGCCGACGCCCCGCCATCTGAGTCCCTTCCCCAGCTCTGGCCTGCGGAGCTGACTCCACACCCGGCGCATCATCCGCCCCGCCCCGCCCGCCCCGGCCCTTGGTGGAGGCCGTGTCTATGCGGAGTGGGCCCTGCGGGTGTACCCACGTGTGGCTCTCTGCGGAGCGCCCTCGCGTGAGTCTGGTTTGCAGAGCTGGGGGCGGGGTGCTGAATGGGACGGATGCGGCGTGCGGCTTTAGCTGCGCAGTCTTCCCCGGGCTGGGGCGGGGAGGGGGCGGCGCGGGCGGGCGCAGCGGCTTCAGGGGCCTGGCCGGCTGGGGACTGGTGGCTCGGAGCGTGCACGTGTGCGCGGGAGCTATGTGTGGTGTTGGGAGGCGGCTGTGCGTGTGTCACGTGGACACAGGAGTGTGCCTGTGTATGTATGCGAGGGGGGTGCATTTCAGAATGGAGTGGTGTGTGGAGACCAGTCACGCGGACATGGGCGTGCGCCTGCCTGGGGAGGAGTGTGTTGGAGTGCCCTGGAAGATTGTGTCACAGGCTACAGGTTCCAGGACTGTGCCCTGATGGGCTGCAAGGCTGTGCATCCCGCAGGAGGATTCGGGAGTGTGGGAGAAGCACAGGGCTTGTGTCCTTGAGGATCCCAGGGAAGAGGCCCTGGCCTCCCCGACAGCCCTGCGCTTACAGATTGAGCATCTACTGTGTGTCAGACTCTGGGAGACCTACACATTTTGGGGACACTCTGCCTGCTCCTTGGTCTCCCACCCTGGTCTCCACGGAAGCCAGAGTCATTTTAGACCTCATCCAAATGAGTCACTACCCTTCTCAAAATCTTCTGGTTTAGGATGCCTTCTGGTCTCTGTCCACGGAGTCCCACTCCACCCCAAACCAAGCCCAAGGTCTCGGACAGGGCTGCCTCATGCTCAGTGTGAACTCCCAGCCTCTTCTCTCCTGAAATCCTATGCAGCAGGCAAACAAAAGAGCTTCAGTGTCACCTCCTCCAGGAAGCCTTCCCAAGGTGGGCTTGGTGGCACACACCTGTAATCCCAGCACTCAGGAGGATAACAAGTTTGAGACCAGCCTGGGCAGCTTCGTGAGATCTCATCTCAAAAAAATAAAAAAAATAAAAAAATAAATAAATAAATAAAATAAAAAGGGCTAGGGCTGTAGCTCAGTGCAAAGAGCCTGAATTCAATTTTTTCAGTATTAAACAAAACAAAACAAAACAAAAAAACCCAAGCTGCCCCAGAGGCCAACGCACTGTCTGAACCTTCTCTTGAGATTTAACCCCTCTTGCCATCTGGTGCCTCTCTCCACTCCAGTTACATCAGCCTCTTTGCTGTTCCTCAAACAGAGCAAACCCAGTCCCACTCATGATGCTTGCACTGGCTGGCCCCTCTGCCTGAAATGCCCTTCCCTAACTGTCCATACTGCTTGCTTTCTTCTTTCCTTCTATTATCTGCTCAAATCCTGCACCTAAAAGGCCCTCCTGAACCACACTGAATCAGTCTCATCCCCCAGCCCATTATTCTTTTTTTTTTGTACCAGGGATCAAACTCAGGACCTTGCACTTGCAAGGCAGGCGAGGTGCCACTGAGCTAAATCCCTGGCCCTCCAGCCCATTATTCTTAATCTCTGTTACAGCTGTAGCTTTCTTCATAGTGCATATCAATTACCAGGTGTATGCTAGTTATTGGCTTTATTTGTTGCTTGCTGCTCGTATTAGAAAATAAGCTGTGTGAGAGCAGGCACTTTGTCTTTTCAGTTAACTCCTTTGTTTCCTGGCACCTTGCACTGTGCCTGGCATCTAGCAGATGGTCAATGAATAGTTGTTTCGTGAATGAATGATTTGATTTGCGTTCCAGGAGTCTGTGTCCCTGATTGTTCTCCAGCCTGTGAGTCCTCAGTCTGAGGCTAGGGTCTCCTCCTCCTCTAGATTTCAAGTCCTGGAAAGCCAGGCCTGGGAGAACTATGACCATATTTGCATGTTAGAAATTCTCTCCACTGGTGTAGAGGATGTGGTGGGGTGTGAGTGTGAGCAGGGAGACCCAAATGCTGGAAGCAATGAAAGGACACTAAAAGTCCGAATCTACACTTCTTAAGGGGTTTGAGTTGGTGAGCTCACCCAGCACCCCATGGGGAGATCAAAGAGGGCTTTTGGAGGAGGTGATATCTAAGCTGTCCTCCAGGCAGCGAAGGAGAGGGAGGTGTGTTCCTGGCAGAAGGCACAGCTTGTACAAAGGCCTGGCAGCAGAACAGTCTACAGTTTGGGAAGCTTCAAGTGGTGCAGTGGAGTGGAGAGTAGGTGTGGAGTGGAGGAGCAAGGATGGGTGAGGGGGAGAGGATCCCTCTGGATTTCTGGCTTGCATCCAGTAAGAATAGGGAGGACGCTAGTCCCACCTCTGCAATGGAGACAGAGGAGGAAGAGCAGGCTTGGGGAAAGATGCTGAGTTGAACTGGACCCCTGTTGGAGTGGAGCTGCCCAGGAATACGGAGGAGGAGGAGGAGGCTGCTAGCTAGAAAGAGTTGGACTGGAGGTGCAGACCTGGGGTGGAGGCAAGGAGGGGCAGAGGTGTAGGATGGGGCCCGGAGACTGCCAGCTTCCATGGGTGGCACAAGGGATGCACTGACAGTAGCCGGGTCAAGGCAGGCACAGCACCCACCTCAGTGCTTGGGGGCTCCCCAGGAGAGGGCGTGCTCATAGCAAGCATCCTCGAGCATGACTTGGCACCAGACTCCTGGGCCTCCCTTGAGGGGACTGAGTCATCCCAGCGTTGGTGGGAGCTTTGGGAGGCACCGCTGCCAGGGCCACCCAGATGCTTGTTGGGAGTATAAACAGGGGTGCAGAGAGACAGGCGTCCCATGGATGTCAGGACCCATTTTCTGTGCTTTGCTCGGGTGGCCAACTCCTCTCCTCACCTTGAAGCTTTCCCTTCTGGCTGGTCCTCTGCCTGGACAGTAGCGGGTCCCCTGCCTCAGCCTGGCACTGGAATTCATCCTTCCAGAACTTAGAATGAGGCCTGATTGATGCTTGAAATCATCTGAGGCAGAGCTGCTCAAACCAACTGGATCTTCCTGCTGTCTTGCTTTAAATCTCTGCTTTGGAGGGACCCAGTTAGATGGGGCATGTCCTGAGGAGGAGGCCAGACCAAGCAGGCAGCTGAAGGCAGGAGCTTGCACACTTGGGAATGGGGACACTTGGAGGGGGGTGTGCAGGGCCTGGGAGGAGAAGCCCGTTGGGGGATGGGTGCATTCCTGGCCATTCCCCAGCAGATGTGTGGTTGTACTTTGCATATCTGGGCTCTCTCAGTGGCTTTTAGATGTAAATACATCCATCCCATCCCCACATCACTCGGGCATAAACTGCTTCTGTGTCCACAACCTCATCTACTTCCTTCCATGGCCCATAGTATAGGCAAGCTGGTGGCCATCTGTCTGATTCACATCTGAGGAAACTGAGGCCCCAGGAAGCTCAGTGCCTTGTGCCAGGCAGCATAGCCTAGTCTGGGAGGGCAGGGCTTGAGCTTTGCTCAGGGAGGCAGGGCCTGAGTCTGTCCATTCCTGGTCTTAGCACCTAGGAGGCTCCCCATGCCTCAGGCCTGGGTTCTAGCCTGTCATCCATCTGTGACCCCTAGTTACCTGCTGAGTCAGTTCCTATGAAGCCATCTACTGAGGCTGCAGCTAGGGAAGGGTAGGGGTCCCCTGGGTGAGCCCCTGGGAGGACACGGCTCTGCCTAGGACACAGGCCAGCCTAGCAGGCAGCCCCAGGCTGTGGGACAGGTGAGGGTGGGAAGTCAGTAGCTCCCCATCCCCGTCCTGGGGCCCACACCTCCTCAGGGGCACGCTTGTACTTGGCCACACAGAGCTGTTGATCTCCATGCTGGTATGCTCCTGGTGTGGACCCATGACACATGCAGACAGCGTACCAGTCCTCAGCCCTGCTTCAACACTTGCTGTCACACTCAGACATGGGGCCTCACACGCAAGACCTCCAGCGCCAGGCCCTGTCGCCTGGACACGCGGCAGGAACTCAGGCCTCCTGGCCACCTCCCTCTCTGCGTGCTTAGTCACCTGAATTTGATCCAGGAGGGAGGGAGGGATGGATGGAGGGCCTGACGTCAGCCTTCACAGCCGCCTCCCGCCTCCTGCCTCCCGCTGCCGCCTCCACATCCATCTGGGCCCCAGTTTGTCCCAGGCAATCACAACAACTCACGTCTACGGAGCTTCCTTCCTGGCAAGCCCTGTTCTGAGTCCCTCCTTTGCCCCCCCCCCCCCCCCGCTCAGGGAGACCCACTATTAGTCCCATTTTCCAGACGAGAAAACCCAAGGTGCAGTTGCCTGCCCACTGGCTTACAGCCAGGGAAGGGGGCAGCCTGGCAGCCTGGCTTCAGAGCCTGGGTACAAACCAGGTAATGGGCCCCAGGCTTGAACTGAAATGCTTCTGCACCCACTTGCTGTGTGGTACCCGGCCCATCCCTGTCCTTTGCTGAGCCTCCCTCTCCCCATCCGAGAAAAGGGGAAAAGGGAGCTAAAGGAGGGGTGGCTTGTTGTGGGGGTAGCAATGGCAGGGAAATCATATGCAAATTTTATGGGCCAGGGTAGCCCATGGCTTCTGCCTGTGGTGGCTCTCAGTCCCTTGGTCCCTTCCTGGGACCACAGGGCGGGAGCTCCTGACTCTGTGCTCCATCCCTCAGGCTTGTTGGGGTTCCCGTGCTGAGGCTGCTTTCCTGTCTGTGTAATGGGAATGGGCCTGTAATGATCACTATGGCAACCACTCATTTATTCAACAAATATTTATCGAGCACTGATTACATGCCTGGCACTGATAAAGACAGCCAGGATCTTATGGAGACAAGACAGACGGAGCCCTGATCTCGTGGAGTTTATGTCCTGGTGGAGAGGCCAGGCCTGAGGAGTGCAGGGGGGCAGTACAGTGATCACCCACTGGGAGGAGCCTGGCCTTGAAGCTCTTCTCAGCCTTGGCCTCCTCTTTCCTACAAGCAGTGTGGTTTCCACAGGCTCCCTCCAGCTCCAGCTCCACGCACTGCTCCCCTCCCCTCCTCCAGGGAGGCCTCCTTGATACTCCAGCCTTACCCAGCCTCCCCTCCCTCCAGGTTGCTCCAGCCTTGTTACCCCTATCAATCCTCTAGGTGCGGCCTCCGTGACTTTTCTGGTTGCCAGTCTGTATCTTCTTCCCTCTTCCTTTCTGCACGTCAACATCGGTTTTACTACTTGCAAGTTGCCATGTCCTCACCCAAACCTGCCTGCAAGCCCTGGTGTGGGCACAGCATCCACAGTACAGATGGGGAGACTGGGGATCAGAGTGGGGAAGGGGCCGGCTGTGGGCCCTGCAGTAGGTTGGCAGGCAGGACTGGAACCCAGCCCCAGATCCTCCTTATCAGTGGGCCCCAGCCAGCCCCACCTCCTGGACATCTGTCACAGCAAGGGAATGGGGTGGGGTGGGGGGGATCTAGGATGAAACAGGCACGACACCCGTGAGACCTGTGGTCTCCAAGTCCCTGTGTGGGGACACAGGAAATTACCAACAGTCCAGAAGGGTAGAAGGTCAGGAGTCTACTTCCATTTCCTGAGAAGATGTGGGGTCCAGCCCAGGAAGCAGGGGACATTGGGCTGGGGTGGGGTCAGCTTGCATCCTGGGGCAGAGACAGGTCCCGGTGAGAGTCAGCTCAGAGTGGATCAGGGTGTGACCCTGGGTCACAGCCAGAAGTGAGGGGTGGGGCTCAAGCTGGGGCTCTGCTTGGCCTGAGACTTGGTTTGGGGTCACATGTGGGGTTTTGTCCCTTGTAGGAAGCATCCAGGGGGGAGATTCTCAACTCCCTGGGGCTATTGACGGATGGTCCAGGGTGAGTGGGAGGTCAGATCAGAGGAACACTGCAGCCTATGAGTAGATGTGACATATTTTGGCCTCTTGAGCACACTGAAATGAAAACCCAGGAGAAATAAGGAATGACCTTTTAGTGACGGCCACCAAACAGATAGCCTCCTCCCCTAATGGTTGCTGTCCTGGGCTGGAGGCTCTGCTGGGACAGCGAAAGGGGAACCAGCCTTGCTCGGTGGTCCTGGAGACGGTGAGAGGAGGTGAGAGAGGCTGGAGCCCCAGGGACATCTTCCCGGACGTAAGAGAGGAATGGGGGTGGACGAGGTGGCCAGGCCTGCAGCCCCAGTGGCCTCTGGGTTACCAACAGCCAGTCCAGCTTCCAAAAGGCAGCACGGGATGCTCTGCCATCAGAGCTGGGACTGGGAGTCACTGGGCCTGTGTCCCACGGGCAAGGCTGAGCCGAGCCTGGACTTCTCCATCTGTCTCCATGCTGCTGGGCCTGTAGTCTTCTGCAATGCCTGTCTGTCCTGATTTCAGAACATCAGAGTCACTGTTTCCCTGTGAAGTCAGTGTGGCAGAGTGACTTTACCTGTTTTGCAGGTGGGGATGCTGAGGGCTGGAGGGCTGGCATGCAGCAGAGCCAGATGAGGTGCTGGAAGTCGCTCAATGGGGGCAGACCTGAGTTTGGGTGCTGGCAAGCTAGGAAGAAGGAATAGCGGGCACAGGAATGGAGGTGGGGCTTATGGGACTGTGGCCAGCCACGGTGGGAGAAGGGCCTCGGTCCCACCCCCTTCCTCCTGGCCAGGGTGACGTCCAGGAGTAAAGCCTTCTCTATTCTTTCTCAGGTGCCCGGCAAGGCTACGCAGAGGACCCCCCTGTCTGGGCCGATGGAGGGGGGCCCGGCCATCTGCTGCCAGGATCCACGAGCAGAGCTGGTAGAACGGGTGGCAGCCATTGACGTGGCCCATTTGGAAGAGGCAGACGCAGACCCTGAGCCTGCCAGGAATGGTGTGGACCCTCCGCCACGGGCCAGGGCTGCCTCTGTGATCCCTGGCAGTGCGTTAAGACCCCCACCAGTGCGGCCCAGCCTCTCAGCTAGGAAGTTCTCCCTGCAGGAGCGGCCAACAGGAAGCTGTCTGGGGGCCCAGGCTGGGCCTTATGCCACGGGGCCCGCCAGCCACATCTCCCCCCGGGCCTGGCGGAGGCCCACCATTGAGTCGCACCGTGTGGCCATCTCAGATGCAGAGGTTGGTGGGGCATAGTTAGGGGTTGCTCATGAGCCCTCTAATAGGCCTCCAGGAAGGCCTATGTCTGCCCCCATCTGTGCCACGTAGTTATTTATCCTTGGCTTACATACCCTCGGAGCTGGGGAGCTCACTACCTAACACTATCACCTCTTCCCAGGTAGTTCCAGGAAGTTCCCAGGTAGGCAGGAAGTTCCAGGTGAGCCAAAGGTTGCCTCCTGTGATTCCTACCATCACACCCAGCCCAGCCCAGGCCTCAGAAATAGGTCCCTCCCTTGTCCCCTAAAATGTCCTCTTAGAGATTCAAAGATAAATGATGTATACCCTACCCCCGAAGCTTCCCAGCCTGAAGCCTCCCTCGTCCCACCTCTAGTCCTGTGTCTGAGTCTGCTCTGATTCAGAAAGTGCTCGCGAGCCTTCAGCCTCTGAGCTTCTGCTGCCCTGACCTTGCCACTCAGATCTGATCTTTTGTTTTAAATCATTTCTTTGAGATTTATTCATTTTTCCCTGACTGTCCTCCATGTATGCACAAAATATATATGTTAATGAACTTCTGTTTCAGATCTGATCTTGAACTTGGGTACTGAAAGGTCTACAGGTGTCAAAGGCTGAGCTCTTTGTGCTTGAACTAGAGCCCAGTCTTCTCTTCCAAGCCTTCCTTATCTTTTTTGCTCTGGCAATCCAGCCCACCTTGTTCCTCTGCTGCTGGAAATACTTGCTCTTGGGGGCAGTACAATACATTGGGGTCTCCTAGATCCCACAATCATAGCAGGAATTAGTGTATTTTTCCTTTACCACTTAGGGAGCAAAGCATAGCCAGGACTTCACCATTCATGTTTTCACACAAGGCCTCTTGGCAGTTAAGGTAGCAGTAGCACCACCAAGCTTTCCTATCTAAACCTGAAGGAGGGACCTAGGAGTTTGGGGCCAGGCTCAGACCCTGAATAAGCTCCTGGGATCAGTGTCATCTCTGGATCAAGCTGTACCTGATGCTTCTTCTTTCCCCTAGGACTGTGTGCAGCTGAACCAATACAAGCTGCAGAGTGAGATTGGCAAGGTAGGACTGGGGCAGGACAAGAGCAGTGGGTGCTCAAGAGTTCTCCTCTTGGCATTTTTTCTCTCCGAGGGTGGGAATGGCAAGGCAGAGGCAGGAACACCTTAGCATAAATGTGAGGAAAGTTTTGTCCTCTGTAGGAAGCACCCAGGGGGAGGTTGGAAGATGACTCTTGATTCCAGACTCCCTAGGGTTCATTTTGTTTTGTTTTGAGACAGGGTCTCACTATGTAGTTCAGGCCAGCTTTGAGCGGATTATGTATCCCAGGCTAGCCTCGAACTTGCAGTGATCCTCCCGCCTCAGCCTCCTGAGTGCTGAGTGCTGAAATTACAGGTATTCGCCTCCACACCTGGCTTCCCTACAGTTCTTATTGGATGGCCAGGAGGGACAGAGGAAGGCATGGGGGCTGTGCTCATCCTGGCAGGGGCAGTTCCCAGGACATAGGAGACCCTTGCATGTCTGTAGGAAATGTGTGCCATGAGCCAGCTGGGGGTAGGGTTGGGGGTGGGATGCAAGGGCAAGGACAGAGCTGTCTCAAGCTGGTCCTGGGGGAGTGTGTCCTGTCCAGGTGGGGCTGACCAGAGCTTATCTGCAGGGTGCCTATGGTGTGGTGAGACTGGCCTACAACGAGAGTGAAGACAGACACTATGTGAGTCTGGGAGAGGAGGGAGGTCTTGGCAGGCTGGGCCCTAGACGCCTGGGGAGCAAGGCAGAAGTGCTGGGGAGCCAGAGGACAGGGTGCTTAAAGGAGTGAGCAACCTGTCTCTAGGGATATGTAAAGGGAAAGAGCTTCTTGAACCTAGGATATGCAAGCAGAGGCTAGCTTCCTCTCAGGGGAAGGCAGCCACCTCCTAGCTCAGCCTAACACGTACCTGGGCTGCACCTTCAGTGCCAATGGAAGATGGCCAGTGTGCCTTTCTGGAACTCAGTCCACATGTAACCAGCGTGTTCTAGCCCCCAGTGGCTGCACACAAGTGACATTTCTCTCCCTGTCTCCTTAGGCAATGAAAGTTCTTTCCAAAAAGAAGTTACTGAAGCAGTATGGTTTTCCACGTATGTACTTGTCTGTCCTGTTGCTGGGAGCTCATTGCCTAGGGACAGAGGTCCCTGGGTACTTTTGGTTAGCACTGGGCTAGAGGGGAGTCAGGGTGAGCCAAGGCCTGGAATGGAATGTGCTTGGTGGCTTGGATGGGATCATGGTCTTGCAGCAGTTGTGCTTGAGGCTGGCTGCAAGGCCACGAGGAGGCCAGCGGTGGAACAGGGTCTTGAATCTTCTTCCTGGCCCCAGGTCGCCCTCCCCCGAGAGGATCGAAGGCTGCCCAAGGAGGGCCAGCCAAGCAGCTGTTGCCCCTGGAGCGAGTATACCAGGAGATTGCCATCCTGAAGAAGCTGGACCATGTGAACGTGGTCAAACTGATTGAGGTAGGGATAGGGTGGTGAGCAGCTGGCACCCGCGTACTCTGCAGCTGCACAGACCCAGGGTCCTGTGGCTGCGGCCCCAGAGGGCAGGCTGGACTTGGAATAGGCATGGGGGTCAGTTCTGCTTAGACAGTGGGGAGAAGGGCCGGGTGGACCAGGACTGGGTCAGCGATTGCTGAGGTCCTATGTGTCCAGCACCTGCTCCATGTCAGGTGGCTACTGAGCATACTGGGGTCCAGGGGCTGGCAAGGACAAGGAGGCCTGGGCCCCTCACTCTGTGCCTTCTCAAGTCTCAACTCACATCTGCTCGCTCTGACCAGGTCCTAGACGACCCTGCTGAGGACAATCTGTATTTGGGTGAGTGACCCAGCTCATTCCACAGCAGCTCACATAGGGGGTCCAAGGGCTCCTTGGGGATGTGCATGAACTTCAGGCACTGACCTCTTGGGAGCAGAGAGGGAAGCCCTGGGTTTCCTTGACTGGCCCTACCGAACTAGGCCCAGAAGAATCAGTAATAGTCAACAAATATTCCTAGGCCACCCACTCCCTGCTGCCCACTGATTGGCAAGACAGTTGGGCTCTGCACTCAGGTGAATGTAGGAAACAGGCTTTGTGGGTTCTTAGACCCAGTCTGGTAGCCCTGTGCCTCAGTTTCCTCATCTGTTAAATGGGATAATAGGACCAGGGCTGTAGCTCAGTGGTAAAGCATTTTCCCAGCTTGTGCCCTGGGTTCCATTTCCTGCACCACAAGATAGATAGAGTATAAAATGGGATAACAACGGCATTTACCTCATAGGGTTGATACCAGGAGGAAATGAACTACTGTGTGCAGAACAGATAGTTTAGGATTGGGCACAGAAGAGGGGAAAGGGTCAGAAGGAGAACCAGCTTAGGGATTAGAGGTCAAGGCTTTAGTCTCCACTTTGTACCCTGCTTGCCTGTCTGTGGTGACCTTTAGGAAAACTGCCTGCATGCCTGCCCCCTCCTGTTCCCTCAGAGCAGGGAGCTAGCATCGGGTGCTTTGGCAGCCTTGTATACACCTTACCCTCTTCTTTTTTTTTTCCATTTCTTTCAGTGTTTGACCTCCTGAGAAAGGGGTGAGTTCCTCGTCCCCATCAGGCAGGTCAATTCTAATCCATCTCCCATTCCCTCCCTGTGTTCCCCAGCTCAAGGGTCAGCTACTGTAGGAGGAATCAGAGATCTAGGCCCTACCTCAGAGGCTCTAGTCTTGGGGGTGGAGATCGAGAGCCCCATCCTTCCAAGGCTGGTGGGGGTTACTGAGGCTGGAGGACTCACGGAGGCCTGGTGGGGGCGCTTTGAGGCAGGCCTTGAAAAATGGGAAGATTTGGATGGAAGAGACGAGGAAGGTAGGAATGTTCTTTGTGCAAAAGTGTAAGGCAGGACTCTATTTCTTTGGGGCGGGGGGTAGGGGAGTTGAGACAGGATTTGACTATGTAGTTCAGGCTGACCTTGAACTCACTATATAACTGGGGCTGGGCTTGAACTCATAGCGATACTCCTGGCTCAGCCTCCTTCTCGAGGTGCTGAGATTACAGGCGTGCGCCACCACTCGTAGGACTCCATTCTTACCCGTATTCAAATCATAAAGGGTTCTTAAGATACATCATGTACAGGTACATGCACCCAATGATAAATGCAAACGTATTGCATACCTAAAATGTACCAATAAAAGAATTTAAGCAAAAAAATAAAACCAACAAAAAAACCAAATCATAAAGGATTCTTTCAACTTTACAACAAGCTTGTGAACCAAGTGAGTGGGACTCTATCCGTGCCTATTTGTGAGAGGGAAAGCCAAGGATTAGAGGGTAAATGGCCTGCCCAAGGTCACACAGTAAGTCATTGATGGAGCATACAATTCTAACCACTGATGGAGCCTAGGGTTCTAACATACCTGCTCTATTGAGTTTTCAGTGTATTTGTAGAGCAGCCAACACAGAGTCATGAGCATGGGACTGGATCACAGGGACCCTCTCTGCCAAAGGCTTGAATACAGGCTGTGGCTGTCTGTTTGGGGCCCTTCCTAAAGACAAATTTGGGGAGGAAGTACTATCCCTTTAAGACTCAGGGGCTTTCAAATGTTTTTACCTCCATTCAAAACAAGAAATATCTTTATAGTGCTATCTATGTCTTTAACTGAAACCAAAGTTTTAAGGAATAGTGTTTACATGTAATACATTGTACTTCATTAGGAAAAACAAAAAGCAATTTCCATTCACTAAATTGATTTTATGACCCTTTGTTGGATCTAGACCCACAGTTTGAAAAGCGCTGCAATAAGTGGCATCTTTGTAATTATTTGATTGTAGATAATGCAGTACTTAGAAGAAATACAAGCCAACTGAAGTTAAGATAAAGCTGATTTGGAATTACGATTGAAAATGTGTATTAGTGTCTACGAGTGAGAAGCAGCTAATGCCTAGGGTTCTCGGGACCTCTGAGAGCCCATGGCTCTCTGCAAGTCCCAGGGCCTGCGTGGCCAGCCCCTCTGTGTCCCCCTTCCCCTGCAGCCCTTTACTCCTCCCGATTTTCATCTCCTTCAGGCTGAACACCCCTCCCCCTCCTTCCCATAGGCCGGTCATGGAAGTGCCCTGCGACAAGCCCTTTCCTGAGGAGCAAGCTCGCCTCTACCTGCGGGACGTCATCCTGGGCCTCGAGTACTGTGAGTGAGCTGCTACCTGTCCCGTGGGACTGAGGCTAGGGGATTAGGAACCTGCCCAGCCGGTCAGCCCCGAGCCGTTTCTGTCAATCAACACTGCTTTACCAATCAGCTTTAGTGGAGGCGGGGCATGAATCTATGGGCGTGTCCTCAGCCCAGTTCACCGGGCATGCGCCAGGTCCACCGCTGTGGCCAGGTCCTCCGCTGTGCGCTTTGAGTGTTCTATTGCTGTCTTTGCTGTTTTCTACAAGGCCTCAAGAGATGTCTAGCAGCTTGGGGAGGAGCTGGGGCCCGTGGGTGGTGGCAGGGTGTGTTCAGATGTGAGGGCCCCTAAGGTGAGAGCTCAGGAGGGAGGATGTTAGCTCAGCCTCTGTCTGGAATTCATTTACTCATTGGATCATTCATTTCATTTATCATGGTACCTACTAAGTGCTGGCTGGAGACAGAGATGTCAGAGCCCCAGGCCTGAACCCAAGAATCGCACAGACCTGGGGTAGGGGGCAGGATCTCAAGCCGGCAGATGATGTACCTTAGGGTGGTACCTGCCAAGTCTGGGAAAGCACAGGGTCCTGGAAGACCAGTGTTCTGAAGGGTGAGTAGGAGTTCATTGGCCAGGTTTTGGGGAGATGGGGAGAGGAGGGAGTGTTCCAGGCAGAGGAAGAAAGGGGAGGGGGTGTATTGTTTGAGGATGGGAAGTTCAATCTGGATGAAGCATGGTGAGGGAGGTGGAGGAGGTGGCTAGTGGATGACGATGCTGAAATTTGGGCAGGGAGTTCCTCCAGAGAGGACCTCACCCTGTTACTGTTGTGCAGCCCTGAGGGCTCTGAGTGGGCAGGGGTGGGATGAGATTTGTGTCTTAGAAAGCTCTGTCTGGCAGCTGTGTGGTGGTTAGATCCAAGGGTGAGAGATGGCCAGCTGTCCAGGGACGAAGCTGTTTCTACAGCCACAGTGACAGGTGGCAGGGCTGGGATTAGGGCAGTGGCAATGGGGAGGGATGTGGAGGAGGCGGCCACCACGGGCTGACTGTTTAGGGAGAGCAGGGGCCCCCGGACACTTAGGGCTCTGGCCTGGGTTAGGGACCAGGGGTGCTGTCCATCTCTCTAAAATTTTAAGCTGGCTTGTTAGGAATATATTCTCCGTGTGTGGGGAGGGGGGAGCTAGCTGAGTTGTGACCTGAAGTGACATGAACAGGGCTGCCTTTATCCTTCTTAAGCCTCTCCAATACTGTCAGATTAGTATTCTCTTTGACCATATGGGAAAACAGAGTCATAGAGGGGAAGGCTTTGCAGAGAATCCCTAGCAAGGTTGTAAAGGGTTAGGATGGGAAGGGGGCATTTCACTGGAAGTATTGTCAGCAGCAGGCACAATCCTAAACAAGCTTGGCTCTACCCTCTTCCTATCCTGGGGTCTTCTCCACACCACAGGGCCTGTTGTCTGCCCTCCTCTATCTCCCCCCAAGCACACTGATCTCATATTCTTGACTACAGCTTCGTCAGGACCCAGCTGACCACAGTGAAGCCTCCTGGAGGGGGACGTTAACACCAGGGGCTGGACAGGTTGATGACCAGCGGTACTGGGGCCCTGAAGACAAGTCTTGTGATTCTGGCTCCTAAGAAGGGAAAGTTGGGGCTGCCTGAGAGTGCTTTGTAGTCCGAGAGGGCCCAGTTCTCAATTCCTAAGCCCAATTCCCAAGCCCAATTCTCAGTCGACGGGGCAGGTGCAGCAATGTGGGTGATGAGACACAGTGGGGTTGAAAATCTGCTTTGAACTTGGGGCCAGCTAATGTGAGGTCTGAGTGGAGAAGGAGTTGAGGAATGGTCCCAAGGTTTGGCAACTGGTAATATGACTTTAACAATATAGAAAAGACTAGAGGAGAAACCAGCGATTTCTGTTTTGTTTGCTTTTGTTGGTTGTAGAGATTGCAGGTAGAGAAATAAAACATGTTGTGATACACTGAATATGTATATTGATTTGTCTGTCCATCCATCTTGATGTCTGTTGGCCATCCAAATGGTGAAAAAGCCCGGGGCAAGGCTGGGGTTTGAGAAAAGAATTTGAGGGGCCGGGTGTGCAGCCTAGTTGTAGAGTACTTGCCTGTCATACATGAGCCCCTAGGTTTGATCCCAAGCACTGCAAAGAATTTGAGACTACTTTCCATGGTCAAACATGCAGCTCCCTAAGCTTCTGTGCTCGATGGGACTGTGTCAGATTCCTTGTGTGCACCTGGCACATAGAAGGCAATTAGTAAAGCGTGCTGCTTTTGTGGTTATTGGTGTATGGCACTCACTTCCTCTGACCTGCCTTCCTCTCCTCTGTTCCTTTCCCCTCTCTTTCCTTTCTTTCTATTTTCCCCTGTCTGGTATCCTGGGGTCTGTGGGTCCAGGAGGAGGGATTTGCTGAGGAGGGAGTCCACAGGTGGATGGCTGTGGGGTAGGTCAGTGACTTTTCTCAACTGGGACATCTCTGGTCATCTCAGTTTGAACCACTTATCCTGTCCTGGGAGTGCTGGACCCAGGAGGCAGACCAGGCTCTCAGCCTATTAGGCCATTTCTGATTCTAGATGCATCCTACCAGAGATGGCTCCTCACCCCAGCCATGTTCACCCTGCTGACTCCCTCCCTGAAACCCCATCATCCTGGATCCCTTGGGCTGAGACAATGCATCTATAGGATACCACTGTTCCCCCATCAAATCCTTAGTCTTAGGAGCAGGCATATTTTTGACCAGGCTGGGTAGGAAATGGAACTGGGAAAAGGTTTGGATGGGCTTTGGGCTGCTGACGGCACTCATGTGGAAGGGGAAGAGATGGCCTAGGGAGAATCCTCTCCCTCAGTTTCCTCTGACTTACACTCTCAGCAGCAGGTGCCTTGTTTGTCATGGAGAGAGCACTGGACTTGGAATCCCAAGACACCCAAGATTCTATCCTGGCTCGGCTGCTAACAGCCTAGACTGAGCCTCAATGTCTTCATCATGTTGGTCACATAGTCCTGGTGTCCTCTTCCAAGGCCCTCGTGAGACAAGAGTGTGCATGGACTGGGATGTGCTGGCAGGCTTCCCTGGCCCGGTGGGGGCAGGCAAGGGGTTCTGGGCAGCGGTCCCCAGGCCGGTGCTCCAGCTGCCTCTCTCTGCAGTGCATTGCCAGAAGATCATCCACAGGGACATCAAGCCATCCAACCTGCTCCTGGGGGATGATGGGCACGTGAAGATCGCCGACTTCGGCGTCAGCAACCAGTTTGAGGGAAACGACGCTCAGCTGTCCAGCACAGCGGGGACACCAGCATTCATGGCCCCTGAGGCCATTTCTGATTCTGGCCAGAGCTTCAGTGGGAAGGTGACTCCCAGGGCTTGGGCAGGTGCGGGCAGAACATCTTGCAGCAGGGACCATTTTCAAGCTGATGTATTTTCAAGTGCATGTAGGGAGTGATGTCCAGGAGCCTGTTACGCTGCTTAACCTTGGACTCTTCTCATTTTCCAGGAAAATGCTCACAAACCTCCTCTGCAGATATTTACTGACACTTGCCTTGTGTCAGGTTCTGGGCTGGGCTATGGAACAAGCAGAGCCAAAAGAGTCCTCCTCACCCCTCTTCCTGGTGGAAAGAGGAGGAGAGCTCATGGTCAGGGGAGGTGAAGGCTCCTGCTGATCTTGGAGGTGGCAGGGTCTGAACAAAGCCTTGAAGAATGGGGAGGATTTGAGCCAGAGGTGGAACCCAGAGGATGTATAGGAGGACAGAGGGGCATGGTGCTTAGAGGGCTGGAAGTCTGGGCTTTCTTTAGTGACAGAGGCAGTAGGAAAAGCTTTCTGAGTAAGGGTTACCATGGCCATTATATCCCCTGGGCACATGCCTGCTCTCACTGTCACTGAGGGCAGTGCCAGGAGGCATTTGGATATGGGTGGGGCCCTAGCCCTCAGAGGGCAGGGAACTTTTTGAATTTTTGTTTATTTATTTATTTTTAATTTTTTAATTCTTTTGGTACTGGAGATCAAACTCAGGACCTTGCGCTTCTGAGGCAGGCACGGTGCCACTGAGCTAAATCTCTGGCCCTTAAAACTTTTTATCTGGAGTCAGGGATATAGCTCAGTGGAAGAGCATTGTCTATTGTGTGTGAAAACCCGAGTTTGATCCCTAGAACTGCAAAACAACAGAAAACCAAAAATAACTTTTTTACTTTGATGTAATTCTAAGTTTACAGAAAAGCTGTAAAAATAGTACAAAGAAATACTATATAACTTTTTATCCAGATTCACCAATTATAGATATTTGTCCCATTTGTGTGTTTAGATATGTGTATGTGTGTGTGTGTGTTCATGTCACATTCTTCTGAGCCATTGGAGAGTGAAGTTGGACATTATGCTCCTTTATCACTACATACTTTAGTGGATATTTCCTAAGAACAAGGAGATTCTCTTATGTAACCTCAGTACAATGATCCAAATTGGGAGAGCTAGCATTGGTAAGATTGTTATATAATTTATAAATATATGTTTAAATTGTTATAGTTGATATTTAAATTTTGTCCATTTTCTCAATATTGTCCTTTGTAACTTTTTCTCATCCTGGATGCAATCCAGGGCCACTGGCCACATTTACCAGTCATGTCTCTTTGGTGTCCTCTGATTTGGAAGAGTTCTCCACCTTTTCTTTGTCATTTCTGACCTTGACATTTTTGAAGAGAACAAGGCTGTTATTTGTAGAATGCGTCAGTTTGCATTTGTGTTCCCTGATTGGATTTCAGTGATGCGTCTGTGGCAGGAGTGTGTAGGCGGAGACCTGAGGGGCGCTCACATTAGAGAGGAAGTGGATACTGGAAGGAGAGGGGGGACGGCAGGGGGTACAGGAAGAGAGAGCTCAGCCGAGAATCCAGGGCAGGGGAAGCCTGATTAGCACACGGGAGGAGTTGGCATGTGGCACTCACTCCCTGCTTGTCCTGTACCAGGGTGGGAGAGTGGTGTGGCCAGGGCCTTGCTGGGGGAAGGAGATGGGTGTCAGGAAGAAGGTGGGTCGTGGCTTCTCCAGGGGATGAGTAGTAGAAGGGGCTACCCCTTGAAGGCAGAGCTGGTTTGGTGAGTGTGAGTTCAATACATGTTGTCATTTCTGGGGTGCATCTTGAGGCAAGTGTGACCCGGTGGATGAAGGAGGCTTTCCACCTGTTGAGTTGGACTGTCTGGCTTTGGCTTGTCCCGAGGAGACTTGAGACCCCTGGAGGGCAGTGGCTGTGTTGTGGTCACTGGGTCATCCCAGTGCTTAGCAAAGGACCCAGCATGGAGCAAGCACTGTGGAGCGTTTGTGGAGTGAATACATGACTGGGGAAGGAGGAGCTCTGTAGGCCCTCTCTCATCGCCCCCTTGAGCTGGGTATGCAGTGGGTGGTGTTGCTTCCTGGGGGCCTGATGGGAACATGTTACTTTCTAGGCCTTGGACGTGTGGGCCACTGGAGTCACGCTGTACTGTTTTGTCTACGGGAAGGTGAGTGCCGGGGTGAGGTGGGGGTGGTGCAGAGCTGGGGCGAGCCCAGACGGCTGGCACCATAGGCTGGGCACAGTGAGCTGGGCATGGGAGATTGATGCAGGCCCTTCGTTTGTGTCTTTAAATAACGTGACTTTTGAAAGAGGCCACCTGGTTAGAGCAGGCTGAAGGAGAAGAGGTTTTCCTCCATTTTTCTCTTATGTCCTTGGAAGGGACTGACATGAAGGAACCCAGGACAGCAGGCATTTAAGCGGAGGTGTCGATGGTACCTCCTCTCTAGTGAGACTGCTCCCTGTCCTTCTGTCCCTTGACGTCATTCATTCACCCACATGTTCACTCGGTCATTTATGAGTTCAACAAATTGTCCTTCCTTCCTGCTTTGGGTCAGACTGGGCCTTGGGGACATCTAGCACTGACATGGCTGAGATGCTGCCCACAGAGGCTTCTGCACTAGTGACCACTGAGGAGCAGGAGGCATCTCGGTGACCACATTGCCTCACGCCAGGCCCTGGGAGTGGAGGCTTTGGTACAGGTGGCTCTGATGGGTGGTACCAGCGGGGTACCAGTATCCTCATAGTTCCCTCAGCCACTCTGGGGGGCACCATGCCCCCTGCTCCTGGATCAGGACCCCGAACCTGCATCCTTTGTCCGTCTCTCCCCTACAGTGCCCGTTCATCGATGATTACATCCTGGCCCTGCACAGGAAGATCAAGAATGAGGCTGTGGTGTTTCCCGAGGAGTGAGTTGTCCACCCAGGGACCAAGGGGGCTCCTGCCCACTCCCGGGGAGGGGTGTCAGAGTTTGGCAGAGCTTCTACCCTTTGAAGACCCTACTCTAGTCTGCAGATCTGGAGGTGGGGGTGCTGTTCTGTAGGAGAGGTGCTGAGCAGGTGGAGGGAAGGATCCGTGAAGCTGAGGGTCTCCAGGACGTGAAGGTTGGATCTTGTACACATGGATGGGACCACTGAGGCAGAGATGATCCCATTGACACCACCCCTTCATTGCAGGCCAGCATGGGGTTGGCAGCACCAAGCCCATAGAGCCCCTAGGCCCAAGGGAGACTTCTGCTTTCTCCATGTTGGAAGGGGGGCTTTGAGATGCCAGTGTGCCTCCCATTTCATGGATGGCAAAGTGGAGGATCTGGAGGACAGTTGCTAGTGGGGCTGGGATTTGGAGCCACTGTCTTCTCTCTGAGGCTCCCATTGTGGCTGAAGTCTGAGCTCAGGGCGACTGGGAGGCCTCTGTGATCATCTGTGGTTTTTCCGATTGTGGTCTTGGCTGCTGTGGCTCTTCATTTTTCAGGGCCCTCCTACCATCTGCTCAAGTGGCTGGGCAAGGACAGAAACTGAAATAGGGGCTGTCCTCCATGACTCTTGCCGTTTTATTTTCTTTTTGGTGATACTGGGATTGAACCCAGAATCTTTGACTGGACTACATTTCTAGCTCTTTTTATTTTGAGGCAAGGTCTTGTTAAATTGGGCCGGGGATTTAGCTCAGTGGTTCTGCTGCCTGCCTTGCAAACACAAGGTCCTGAGTTTGATCCCTGGTACCAAAAACAAAACAAAACAAAAAACATGAAGTTGCCCAGGCTAGGCTTAAACTTGCCATCCTTCTGCATCAGCCTCCCAGAGTTCTGGGATTACAGGCAGGTGCCGCCACTCTCATGAGTCCTGCTGTTTGGCACCTGCTTCCTGTCTGATCCTTAAGCCCTGTGGAGTTCATCTTTTATCTTTCTTCACTTGATCTTAGCCAAAAGGCCGAGAAGTGATCTCTTTTACCTTATATCCATGCCTCCTGCCTCAGACAGGTCTAGGCCTCCCCAGGCTTGTCCAGCCTTCTCCTCTCTGGCCTCCCTCCTGCCCAGACAATACAATCAGGCCAGAGTGACCCTGATAAAGCGCAATAGATCTGACCCTGCTTGAAGTTTATCTTAGGCTTTCCAAAGCTTGCAGGACAGAAACTGTGGGCATGGCATTCAAGGGCCTCTGGCTTCTGCCACCTGCTCATCTGCCATTTCACTCTTGTCTCCCTGAGCACTAGCCTATGGCATTTGGTCCATTTCCTCTTTTTCCTTTAATTTTTTGGGCTCCTTGCCTTCTTCCTGCTGTCCTCTACCCCAGGATACCCTCCTCTCTTGCCCAGGAGTTTTCAAAGAGATTAAGCATCTAAGACAGCAGAAGGAACCAACTCAACATTCCCAAGAGTGGGTGGGCTCCTCCTCCCCAGCTTTGGACGGATGAGTGCCCTAAGAATGTTGGTAGCCAACAAGGCTGGAGTTTAAGCAAGGATGGTCCCAGTTGCTGTGGAGCTGAGAGTGCTGTCGCTCCCCTGAGTCTCCTATCCCTGTCCCACACTCTTCTGAGTGGCAAGGTTCCAACCGTCCAACCTTCCTGGGCCTCAGTTTCCTCCTCTGTCAAATGAGAGAGGCTCTTTCTTGGCCACCTGCCAGGTAGAAGAAAGGATAAGATAGTGAGTAGGGGCTGGGGATTTAGCTCAGTGGTTTCGCCGCCTGCTGCGCAAGCGTCAAGGACCTGAGTTCAATCCCCGGTACCAAAAAAAAAAAAAAAAAAAGGTAGTGAGTGGGAGTGAAAGCTACAAAGTGGCTCTTCTCATGTTATTGTCACTATCCTGCCACTCAGGGCATGTCCAGCCCCTATGGAACTTCTTTGTGCCCTGAGGAAGACTATTTTACTTCTACTCAGGAAGGGAGATCCACATACTTGTTGTGAAACTCTCTCCCCTGGCCTGGTCCCTTGGGGTCCTCTTGCTCTTCCCATCTGAGGAATGAGGGTTGGGTGTGTCTCTGGTCTGGGCGTGGTGGGGAGAGGTGGGCTAGAGGGGCCCTCAGCATCCGTCTCACCCTCAACTCTCTCCTTCTCGTCTTCAGGCCAGAGGTCAGTGAGGAGCTCAAGGACCTAATCCTGAAGATGCTGGACAAGGATCCCGAGACAAGAATTGGGGTGTCAGACATCAAGGTGGGGGAACAAGAGGTTTTGGGCTGGGCTGATCCAGGGCAGAGAAAACAGGCCTCAGCTTCCCTTTCTGGAGAGATCTATGCCAGGACACCTGTGTGTTGGGTTTCGGTTTCGGGTTTGTGGGCCTTTTGGATCCCTTCAGGGTCTTCCTGGTGAGATGCCTGGAGTCTTTTGCTGATTGGGCCCTGAGCCCTCCCTGCCTTTCGGTGTTCACAGTTGCACCCTTGGGTGACCAGGAATGGGGAGGAGCCCCTCCCCTCGGAGGAGGAGCACTGCAGTGTGGTGGAGGTGACTGAGGAGGAGGTGAAGAACTCGGTCAAGCTCATCCCCAGCTGGACCACGGTGGTAAGAGGGTGAGGGGCGAAAGGCTTCCTTGTCCTGGGAGGACCAGAGCAGGGCGTGTCCACTGCTTGAACCTTGCTTTGTGCTTGTCACTGTTGGCCTAGTCAGCCAGCATGGTGCAGGGCCACAGAGCCCACCAATCTTCTAAGAGCCTGTGGAGAAAGAGGTTGTGTTATTCAGCCTCATGGGAGGGAGATCATACCTCAGGGAGGAGAAGGAGTAACTTAAAGAAATATACTGAGTGGGGTGTGGTTGTGCATGCCTGTAATCCCAGCACTCTGGGAGACTGAGGCAGGGGGGTTGCAAGTTTGAGCCCAGTCTGGACAAGTTAGCAATTTAAAGAGACCATGTCTCAAAATTTAAAAAAATTTTAAGAAGTCTGGGCATGTAGCTCAGTTTGAAAGCCCTGGTTTAATCCCCAGTATCATAAAAGGAAAAGAAAATAGCTTCCTAAACCTCTGCAGCCCTCATCCCCAGCTTTGCTACCATAATAGCAGCATTCACTGTGACTGGAAGGACGTTTCTTTCCTTCCAAACATTTACGGGATTGGTGTTCCCAGGCACTGCGCCAGATGCTAAGGCCATGATAGTGAAAATCCTGGAGGCCTTGGAGTTGCAGCTACAGACCCCCCCATGTGACACACACCCCAGAAGCCACCCTCTGAGAGAGCCAGGCATTGGGGGCCTATGTTCCTCATGCTGGTGTGTGCTTCCCAGATCCTGGTCAAGTCCATGCTGAGAAAGCGTTCCTTTGGGAACCCATTTGAGCCCCAGGCACGCAGGGAAGAGCGATCCATGTCTGCTCCAGGAAACTTACTGACGTAAGTGCCAGCAGGGTGCTCCCCAGGGTTGGAGTTGGGGACTGAGGCACAACACACTCGCTTCCACTGTGGCGGGGCTATTTAGACTGAGCCAGAGGCTAGGACACATCAGCCACGTCTCATAGGATGGCCCCATTTGCACCTCTGTCCTCAAGGCTAGTTGGGCTAGAAGGCACCTTCCTGGGCCAGGCCTGCTCCAGAGTGGGCCTAGACTCCCCCCCTCCACACTGTCAGGGATGAGACGCTCACTGGGCCCCTCCATGGGACAGGATGACCCTTCCTTCTCTTGGCAGCTTGATGTTGTCACATTTTGCCAGTGGGTCCAGCTCAGCCTTCTGGCTTCAAATCTGCAGCTCCTTCAGCCTCTGGCACCCTAGAAGAGGTTTGCAGACAGGCTCAGTCTGTTCCTTGTAGAAGGCTGGCTGGTCCATGGAGGGAAAGGCACTACTGTCCCCTTTCCCTGGCCCTGTAGTGGGTGTTAGCTGCCTTCCTGAGTGGCCCATGCCACATGCAGCTGGTGCTTTATGAATACCTGTCCAGTGAGTCAGCGTGAGCAGGCTGGTAGACTGGCCCAGGGGAGAGGAACTCCCATTCGCTATGGATTCCCTACTATGAGCCATATGTGTGAGTTTGCCAGCTTATAGAAGAGGCCAGAAAAGCAGCTCCTCCACAGGCCTTGTCCTCAGGTTTGTCACCATGGTCAAAGTCAGTTTGGGAGACCAGCATGGCCTGCTGGAATTTGCACATAGACCTGGACTAGAATGTGATGCTGGGTGACGGTCACTTCCTCTGGCCTGTGAAGGGAGCTACAGAATGCAGGGGTGGTGGGAGCTGTCTCTCCCTATCTGCTTGGTGGGGAAGGCACACTCTCTCAGGAGGTAAACTTCCACCTGTGTCCTTCCAAGTCACACCTACATACTGTGGGGCGCCCACTCGGGGCAGCAGTTTTCTCTTGTCTTCAATGAGGCACTTGGGGCTGGGGAAGAGGGTTCTCTGAGCTCACTGGGTCTGAGGCCCTGATGCTGGAATTGTGCTTAGCATAGGGGATCATATAGAATTTGACATTCAGATGAGGCCACTTCTGAGAGTAAAAGGGGAAGATATTAATAATTATGCCAGGATAAGCAAAATCAGGACTGTGCCCAGCAAACCAGACATCTGGTCTGGCCTGCTCAGTGTCTGTAGCCCAGCGCCCCCTACTGGTGAAAGACACATCTAGTTTGTGCCCTGCAAATGGATGGTGCAAAGATTGGGCTGGATACTTTTCCAGGCATAAAATTCTGTAATTCTGGGGCCCAAATTTAATTTTGAAAACAGATTTGACCTCATTATCAAGTTCCAGCACTTGACCTTGGTAGGCACTGTTTTTCATACTTTGGGATAATTGTTGACACTGTAGAAGAGTTAAATAGGATGGCCTTTTCTTGGTTTAAAAAGAGAGGTCTTGGACAGGGAGATTGGATACAGAAACCCATTGAATATGTAACAGAACCCCAAGAATGATAGATGCTCTACCCTATGAACAAGGCAAAGCAGATGCAAAACAAAAGCCTCTCTACCCAGGTCTGCCTGGGGCTGATCAGGGTCAGTGTGGAAGGTCTTTGACCTGGCTGATATTCCAAGGACACAGGGAAGTCAGCCAGGTCAGACTATGAGAGGTCCCAGAAGCCATGCTGAGAAGTTGAGATTTCATCTCAGGGCAATGGGGAGCCACAGAAGGGCTGTGGGCTGAGGCTGAGGCTCCACTAGGAAGTGAGGGCTGTCATGCGGGGGTATGGGATGAAGGCCACACTTGGGCCAGTGGGGGAAGAGGTAGTTCAGAGATTTGGGGATACAGACGCCTCTGTGTGAGTGTGTGTGTGTGTGAGAGAGAGAGAGACAGACTGGATAATACACATTCTGAACTCTGAGGTCCTTCTGTCCCTGGTGTCATCTGAACAGGAAAGAAGGGTGTGGAGAAGGGGGCAAAAGCCCAGAGCTCCCTGGTGTCCAAGAAGACGAGGCTGCATCCTGATCCCCTGCATGTGTCCAGGGCCACCAGGCAGCACGTTCATCCCACGCCTCCAGAGGCCCACTGCCCTCATGCGACAGCTCCTCAGGCAGGGGGCTGGGGGCGGAAGCCCCTCTCCTGGCCTTCCTCCCCTCCTGTACTGCATGATCTCTGCGAGGGCATGTCTAGGAACAGGATGGGAACTCGTATCATCTGGGGTTGGGGCAGGGCTCCTATGGCACCTTCCTCCCAGTCCTAGTTCTGTGTGGCCTGACTCAGCCCATGGGGAAGCCAGGGTCCGTGGAACCTGGCTGGTTGGCATGGCCCAGGGAGGGGGCAAGAGACCAAGGTGGCAAGGGGAGGCCTAGCTCAGCTGCCACACAAGAAGGGGAGTATTGCCCACCTGGGTGCAGAGGTTCCAGAGCTACTGTGTCCTCAGAATGCTGGAATGGAGGCTCTGACCTCTCCATGTGTGCCTGGGCCTCGGGGAGAGACGGCAGTGTTGGGGAATTCAGACTCCCTTTTTGTTGTCTTTTGCTTTTGATTCTAACCTGAGAAATGGGAAAAACCCTACTAGGGAACATCTAATGGACCTCCCTACAGCTTTGGGGGGTTCCCAGCACATCCACCATTATTCAGCAGCCAGGTGGACTGGACTGACCTTCCTGGATTGTTTTATACTTGGCACCATCTGGAAAATGGGCTGAATTGAATCATACTTGGAGTATAGGCCTAGGCCTGGAGCAGCACACTTTCCCTGCCCACCTCCCTCCCTCGAGGCTTCATGGCTCCGAAAGCCACACCAGGGGTGAGACTGGCCAAGGGCTATGGACTCAGGGATGTGGCCTTGAGCATGCTGAAACAACTGGAATTCAATCTCTGCTCCTACACTGGCTTTGCTGTCACATCCTACGATGGAGAAACTGTCTGGCTCAGAGGCCTGGCTAGAAGAGGGACACTGCAAGGCTATGCAGACTGGCACACAGCCTTCCGGCCAACTGCCTTGCCCCCGGACTGTCACCAGCCAGTCTGCTCAGAGCTGGAGCACTGGGTCATGCATGTGGGCAGGACCTTCTGGAGCAGGCTTCTTATCTCTCTGGGGTCAGTGAGTGGCTGGCTGGCTGGCTCGATGTTTACTGATCAAATGCTCACAGAGGTGGACCCTCCAAAGGGAAGTACATGGAGCTCAGATGCTGCCCTTGAATCCATGGGCCACAGGGCTTCATATCACAGGAGGGCTTGTTGGTGGAGAGGGAGTTTAGTGGGAGGAGGGCCTGTGTCCTGCTGCATTTCTGTGCCCGTGGGTGTACGTTGCGCCTCCATGCACACACGCATGTGCGTGCCCATCTGCTGCACACAGCACACTCGCATGTCTTGCACTGACTGGTACATGCATCTGTAACATAGTTTCTATGTCTATTTAAGGCTAGGAGCAGAATGTAGCTCGTTGTCAATGGGCCCACACTTCTCCCCAGCTCCTCTGCATTAAGGCACTCTGACCCAGGGCTTAAACAACAGTTCAGTACTATCTCTTAAGAACACTTTTATAGAGTTAAAGGGACACAAGTTAAAAGCCAATCACTGATCAGCAAGTTTTCCTGAGCATTTCTGTGCAGGTGCCTGTCTGTGAAGGCCAGGGCTTGTGGGGGCTTCATGGATTGGACCCAGCCTTGGAAAAAGCTCAGAGGTGGGTAATTGAGCTTCATTGCCTGTGACAGAGACTGGATGGAGTGTCCACTTCATTACTGAGGGTTTTGATTGGCATCATTGTTTTTGAATGTAGCATAAATTATGAACAAACTCTATAAGAGAGTTTTAAAAATTAACTTCCCAGGAAGTGAGTCAAAAACAATAAAAGCCCTTCTGAGTTCGATCCCTGGTACCAAAAAAGAAAAAAAAAGAAACAATAAAAGCCCTTTCTTGAGTTAAAGAAGAAGAAGAAGAAGAAGAAGGCAGCTTTGGCTTTGTATGTACATTTTCTCTATCTGGATATGTGCTGTTTCTCATTAGCTGGACCAGCTGGTTTGGCTTGCTTTTCTAAAGGGTTTGAAGCATCATAAGTCCCTGGGCAGGGCAGCAGTGAGAGAGGTGCTTGGGGAGGTGGAAAGAGTGAGAGGGCTGGGGATTTAGCTCAGTGGCACTGTGTCTGTCTCACAACTGCAAGGTCCTGAGTTTGATCCCTGGTACCAGGAAAAAAAAAAGGGAAGGAACAAGGTGGGCTCTAGGGATTCCTAGGTGGGTCTGACAGCCCCTCGGGAAGGACTGTGCTTGGGAGCAGGTGGGCTGCACACACAGGGTACAGGAAGTCTGAGGTCTGGTCTAGGTGTGGCCTGTGTTCAATACCTGCCCTGTTCTCCTTGACACTGGTCTTTCCCCCATAGAAGGCTCCTCCAGGGCAATGATGGAAAGAGGCACCACTGAGGTCAGACAGCCTTGTACTTGAATTCAAGCTTTGCTAAGTAAGGACCTGCGGGAGACTCAGTTTCCTTACTAGTATAACTTGAATAACTATCAGCACCTCCTCCATGGGGTTCTGTGACAGTATATGAAGTCACTGTGTCAGGCATCTGGCATAGTGCTTGACACGTAGTAAGCAGCCAGCAAATGAGACTTAGAAGGAAACCAGGGAGGTCCTGGGTTCAACACACCCACCCTGCGTGGTGGTGTTTGCCTAGCTGTGAGTTTCCAGCTGAGTGAAGCTAGAGACCAACCAGAGGCCCTAGCACTGAAGACCAGGAAGGAGACAAGGCTGGAGGCTGCCCAGGTTTTCTACCTGAGAAATTGAGACCAGGTTGCCCCTGGTCTGCTTGCATCCTAGTTGTCCTGTGAAGCTCCTGTAGAGCTGCACCAAGCCCTTTCAGGAGAGGTGCTAGCCACCAGGCTGAAGTTTCCCAAAGACTAGACCGATAAAGGGGTCTTGTTCTCACTTCCTGCCCCTGCCCCCTCTCAATTTCAGCCCCACCTGTGTCTCACCTCCTCACTGGTGTCCAACCCGTACCCTCACCAGCTTCCAGAGTGACCTGTCTGAGCATGCACCTGGCCAGGCCCCAGTCACTGAGAATCCTTTCAGCCTGGTGTTCAAGGCCTGGACGGTCTCCTGACTGGGGCTGCACCTGTCCCCTCTGCCCACTCCTCCCTCACTGGACTTCAGGCCCTCCCTTGTTTCCAGGGCCCTGCCTTCCCCCCACCCCACCCCCACCCCAGGCAGCCCTAACCTTCAAGGCCTTTTGGGCAGTGAGAGCTTTGAGAAGGGCCATAGGTGCCTGATGTCATTTCTCCATGAGGACCACTCCTCTAGGAGTCACACTGAGGTAGAAAAACAGGCTCAGAGTTACATAGCGCATCAGAGATGAGCTGGGCTAGATCTCACCTCTTCTGCCCACCTACCCCCACTGAGGCCTCCCTATACCAGCTGCTGGGGAAACTGGGAGTCTCACACATGGAAGGACATCTGGGAAAATCAGAGATGGAGTCCACCCCTTTGGATGTCAGCATGCAGGAGAGCTGAGCTCGGGGACAAAAGGTCCATCTGAAGGTATGGGAGGCAGTGCCCTAGGAGGACCTGGTGTCTCAGAGGATGGCTTTGGGCTCTGGATCCCACAGGTCCTTTACTTAGGCTCTGCTCCCCCAACCCTTCAGCCTATATGGTGTCTCAGTGGAGAGTGGAAGGAAGGGTGGTCAGAGCTACTGAGGGTCCCAGCTTTTCCAGGGTCACATACAGGACCCTCAGAAATGCCCCTCAGGTTCCAAGGTCACCTTACTACAGGTGGGCAAACTTCCACAGGCTTCCCTCAGGCAAACGAGTAGACCTCTCCACCAGGCTGCCCCTCTGAGGAGCCATGTGGTGGGGAACCAGGAGAGTCTGGAGAGGGGCCTGTCCTCGGCCTTGTGCAGAACAGAGCCCTGCCTGTGAGGACTCCCTGCCCCACTCCAGCCTCCTGCTGGACTGGCCCTGAGGGCATCCGTTTCCTTTAGTTCCAGACTTCAATGACCATCGCATTACCTGCCCCGACACACATGCTTATCCAACGCTGCCTGGGGCCTCAGCTGCATCTGTCTCCCTGGCAGCTAGGATGATGGGAGGACGATGAAGCCTGGGTCCTCTCACTCTCCAGACAGCCGCCTCTCCCCACCCAAGCCATACTAACCCATCCCAGCTCTGTGGTCAGCCTCCTTGCCCTCCTCACCACTGAGCTCCCACTGGGCCCACCCCTGAATCACTCCTCCAGGAAGCCTTCCCTGGTTCACAACCCCAGAGACACCCTTGGCCTAATGTCATGGCCCGTCTCCCACATGGCTGAGGCCAGGGCCTTGGCCCCACAGCCTTGCCCACTAGCTGAGCCACTTTGATGACTTATAATCCCTACTTACTGTGCCATCACATTGAAGACCATTTATGGACCACGTCTCAGCTGAATCACAAGAATAAGGTCTTTTCTCTGGGCCCTTATTCTGGCCACCTGATCCCCAGTAAGTCCCTTCTCTGGCCTTTTCTTGTCCTTTGTGTCTTGCTCTTTAGCCTACATAGCTGTGCAGGCCTTCGTGGTAGTGGCCCTGGGGCTTTGAAGGTGGCTGCCCCACACTTAGCACAGTGTTCTGACTCACATGACCTGTGCATGGGCTTGCAGCGTTCCATCCCCAGCAGGACTGGTCACTGATTGTCCTAGCCATGGTCCATGTAATTACTGATGTTCTCTGTACTTTGACCCTCCACCCCCGCCCTTTGGTATCCCCAGTACACACCCCTCATGCGCACACTCATACACCCACACAGAGAATCTTTGCACAGGTTCACCCTGAAGGGCTGGAACTAGGTCAAGACAGCAGGGCACTGGTTCCACCTCCCCTCCCTTGGTTTCACCCAGAGTCCAGCGGGCCTGGTGCCCGAGGTGCCTGAGCTTTTACCGAGAAGATTCCCCTTGCTCTCAGGTCTCTCCTTTCTCCTTTAAGGCACTCTGTGCCAGTATCTACCTGCTTCCCTGGGAAGCCCAACCCTACGCTGAGAAAGGGCTCCCTCTGTGGTCTGCCTGTCTCCCTCCCCACTCCCCTTTCAGTCAGAAGCAACTCGTTGGAACCCAGCCTGGCAACCCTCTGGAATCTCCTCCAGAGCTTTAAAAAAATCTCGAGGTCAACCTTCCTCCACGCCTGACTGATCCAAATGGTGTGAGATGTAGTCTGGGTGTCAGAATTTTTTGTAGTCAATAAACTTTATTGTTTTTTGAAGAAGACTTACGTTTATAGAAAAATTAAGCGGAAAATACAGATAATTCCTCTATATCTCCTCAACCTCCGCCTCCTGCCCCCAGGTTCTCCTATTATGATTTTGCATGGTGTGTTACATTTGTTGCAATTGATGAACCAGTATTGATACATTATTAACTAAAATCCACAGTTTACTTTAGGGCTCACTCTTTGTGCTTATATTTTATGTGTTTAGACAAATGTATAAGGACATGTATCCACCATTATAATATCAAGCAGCATAGTTTTGCTGCCCTAAAAATCCTGTTCTCCATCTATGCATCTCTTCCTGCTCCTCCCAACAACCACCTTTTCTTAGATTTGCCTTTTCCACAGTGTCATATAGTTGGAGTCATATAGTATGTATCCTTTCCACTCCCAACTAATTTTAATGAACAGTAAGAACTGACATGGATAGCTCTGGTGTAAGATTTGGTAAAGAGGAGCTGTAGATCTGGTGCTCTATGCTCCTAAATCTGAGTATAGGTCTCATTTCCTTTTGCTATATCCATCCATCCATCTATCCATCCACCCATCCACCCACCCATGCATGCATCTGTCTATCCATCCTTTAAATGTTTGTCCAGGGCCTTCTGTAACCAGGCACTGGGTTAGACAACAAACTGAACCAACACAGTCCCTGCTCTCAAGGGTCTTACAGTCCACTGCAGGAGACAAGCATTGGTCAAGTTGTCAGGCACATATATAGATGATTTTAAACATACACAGATGGATTACAGGAAAGGCTCACAGTGAGCAGCTGAGAGTAGCTGGGGAGGCTTCCCAGAGGAAGGAAGGCTCTGGTTTAGATCTGAAGTTGAGGAAGAACTAACTAGGTCACCAGTGATGGAGGTAGGGGAGGAAAGCTCCAGAGACTGCCACAAAGGCCCTGTAGCAGGAGGAATCAGAAAGCTTGCCAAGAGCTGAAGTGACGATGTTAGGAATGAGAAGAGAATAGTGCAAGATGAAGCAGAGGGTAGATAGGAGCTGGATAATGTGTGCTAAAAAGATCACTCTGGTTACAGTGCAGAAGAAGTGAAAGAGCCAGAAAAACAGAGAGACCCGTTAGCAGGCCACTGTAGTGGCCAGACAAGAGATGATAGGATGGTGGCTAAGGTGGAAGGAAGTCGAGGGGTAACTGAGGGAAAGAAGCAGAGGGACACGAGGCAAATGCAGGGGGCCAGAACTGACAAGACTATGCATGACTTGGCTGTGGGGGCAGGAGAGGAAGGGGTCAAGGGTGGCTCCTGGGTCCAGCCTGCCCACTGGACTATCAGGGAAGCAGGAAACAGGGAATGGACCTTGCAGATTGAGTCTGAGGTACCTTGAAATCTTGAAAGGAAGCTATCCTTAGGCAGCAGGACAGGCAGGTCTGGAGCTCAGAGGAAAGAGAACAGGAAATGGAAGCCCGGGGGTCCTCAGGGTGTTGATGGCAGTGGAGTTGAAGCCAAGAGTGTGCTGAGATAGGTTATGGAGTGAGCATGGGGTGAGCCCTGAAGACTGTCACTGCTCGGGGAGGACAGAACCTGTAAAGGCACACCTGAGCAGGAGTGGTCAGGAGGTCAAAGGAGAATCGAGTGTGGCATTATTACAGAAGGGTGTGCATAGTTTCCAGAGCTGTGAATGGCTACCAGTGTCCATGCTGCTGAGTGGTCAGGGGAGGTGGTGGTAGAGGAAGTGAGGGAAGAATTGTGAGAATTTAGCTGCAGTGTGTGTCATGGGCCTCATGGCCTCATGACCTTCTTTTTAACTGTGGAAACTCTTCTTTAACTACTGATCTGTTTGTGTCCCAAGGATAGACAGGAACTATAGTGCGTGTGGTGAGGGGGTTTTGTGTGCCCGATTTCAAACTGTGTTAAAAAGCATCTCTGTTTTATGGAGTGGGGAGGGGAAGGGAAAGTAAAAAGAATTGAGATGTGTTGTGTACATGTACCAACTCTCCATGATGAATTTACATAATCATTACATACTGTAAACATATACTGATAAAAATTTTAGAAAAGAACAGCTCTATTTTAATCAGCACAGTATCACCTCAGGCCAGAGGACCATGTTACTAACCCTTAAGCAGCATCTGATTTCACCTTAGAAGCTTATATTACCTTCTGCTGGCTTTGGCCTTTGTTACCCCAGGAGATAAGGGCTTCTATTATTTTTATTCCCCTCCTTTCTGGATGAGAGGGAAAAGGAAAGGGGTGGTGAGATTATAATTAAAGAAAAAGAAGAAAAAAGGAACCTTTTAGAAGACCTTGTCAATACCCTCTCCTGCCCCCTAACCTCTCATTTACAAATTTCTGAAGAGTTCTCCACACTGTCTCAACTCCCCCTCTAATCTGGACACTGGTCCCTTCAAAACTGTCAGTGGCCAACAAACCTCCATATGGAAGCCAAGTTCTGACATGAACTTGTGGCTGCATTTGACACTCTGTCAATCCCTTCTTAAAACTCTCCCCAGACTGTGCAAGGTCCCACTCTCCTGGTTTCCTCTTTCTAGGAAAACTACCTAGACTTTGGAACTAAAACAACACCGAGTGATATCTGGCATTACCCAACATGCACATTCCTCCTAGGGATTATCTCATTCTCTCTGTCTCTCAGTTTTTCTTTTTCTTTTTCTTTCTTTTTTTTTTTTTTTGGTATTGGGGCTCGAACTCGGACCTTGCACTTGCGAGGCAGGCGCCAGAACCACTGAGCTAAATCCCCAGCTCTGTCTCTCAGTTTTTGAGTCAGGGTCCCTGTATATAGTCCAGGCTGGCCTTGAACTTGCAGTCCTCTTGCCTCAGCCACCTGAGTGCTGGGTTTATAAGTGTGTATCACCATGATGAACTGGTAGACCATTTAATTCTCTAGGGGGAAGTCTTTGTTAGACTTCCTATTGACTATTAATTAGAATATTTTACAGCTCTTGAGAGTAGAAGCTAATTTATAGACATTTCATAACAAGTACATAATTGTTGGCAATGCAAATGTCTTCTGTCTGAAGGAATAGTGAACCCCAAAGATTACAGTTTCTTGCCTTGTAGGGCATTAACCTGTCTTGTGAAATCATTTTGATTTTCCTTTGACCAACCAATTGAACATTCATTCTCAAATTCTTGTGAACTAGTCTTCATATCTTACTTTTTAAATTATTATTATTCAATGAATAGATAAAAGCTTTGAAGGTTGAGTATGCAGCTTAGTGGTAGAGTACCTGTCTAGCATGTGCAGGGTCCTAAGATTTGATCCTAGTACTGCAAAACAAAAACAAAACTTGGGTATACTTATTTTTTTGAGAGTCATTTTTCTTTCAGTACCAGGAATTGAACTCAGGACCTTGCACTTGCGAGTCAGACATGGTGCCACTAGCTGTATGTTTTTTAACTTTTTGAAAATTATTCTTTACAATCTCCTAAACTCTCCATGGCTCCACTTCAGCAGGCTACACTGAGGACGGGTTTGGGGGTGAGTCGGGTGACCATCTTAGTTATTTTTCTTGTTGCTGGGACTCAACACCTGACATCGACAAATTTAAGGAGCAGGGCTGGGGATTTAGCTCAGTGGCACCAAGCCTGACTCACAAGCGCAAGGTCCTCAGTTTGATCCCAAGTACCAAAAAAAACACCCCCAACAAACTAAAGGAGGAGAGGTTTGCTGTTGCTAGCCCCTCAGTCCATAGTCAGTTGGCTCTAAGACATGGCAGAGGAAAAGCTGCTCATATAAAGGTAGTCAGGAAGCTGAGAGCAAAGAGAGAAGATACACCCTTCCAGGGCACACTTCTCAGTGACCTGCCTCTTCAGACCAGGCCCCACCTCCTAACATGACACTCAGCATTAATGCCCCTGTGATTCAGTCACTTTTCAAAAGCCCCACCCATAAGTACATGCATGGGGCTTTGGGGGCACATCCAGATATAAACCATAACAGCAACTGAATAAGGAAGAGCACAAAGGGATTTCCTGGCAGGATCCCTAGTGTTTTGACTTCCCTGGTTTGCCAGGTCTGAGGGTTGTTCTCCTCTGAATTGCATTGAGCTGCAATGTAGGGTCCTCCCAGCATCAAATCGTCAAGGAGCGGGGCTCCTACTTGGCACAAAGAAGAGCCTCCCCAGCTTTCTGGACTGGCCTCCTGATGTTCACAGCAGAGGGAGAGTGCTCCTTCCTCTTCCACCCCAACTCCTACAGGCCTAGAAAAGCAGTGGAATAGTGGGGCCTGTGATAAACTTTCTTTGAAATGATTTTTTAAAAAAATGCACTCTATGTATTCAACTGAACCTCATAACTGCTTTATATTCCTTTCACTAAGGAAAACCAGCCTTCTAATAACTTCCATCTTGTATTTGTCCTGTTGTTTAGCACCACTGTAAGAAAAACTAGGATATGCTCTACTTCTGTTGGATCTTGCATCTGCATATAATTTCATTTAACCCTCAAAACCTTCTTTGCAGGCATGTAAAACAGTTCTAAGGAACTGAGACTCAAGAGTTAAATGACTTGCCCAAAATCACACATAGCATCTGATTCTGCTCATGGTCTTCCTTGGTTTATAATTATTTATTCCTCCATAAGCAGATCTGGTAGGGCCTCAAAGACCCACCTACCGCTTCCTCAGCTGGGAAGACAGGCCCAGAAAGGGACTTGAACTAGCCTGAGGTTACACAGAGAGAAAGATGCAAAATTAGGACTCAAAGCAAAAACTGACTGGGGTACCCCCCCCCCCCCAAGCCTAGACATGCCCTTTCCCAACCAGGCTCTTGTCAGAAGTAACTGCAGAAAAATCAAGTTTTCAGGTCTATGGTGGATGGAGGCCCCATCAGTCATGAAACTGGGGTCTAAGCTTTTGGGCTGGTCACCACCCTCTTCAAGTCTCACTTTTTAAGTACATAAAATGGGTAAATTACTGGAAGAGTCAAAAGAGTCAGGGTTTACAAGATAATTAACTATTTGTTAACCTATGGATTGTCAAGAGGTGATAGACCAAGGCTCATTCTAGGTTCTGGAGCCAAACTGCCTGGGCTCAGATCCACGTTTTGATTCCTTAAACAGCCTGTACTTTGGGAAAATTTCTATGCCTCAGTTTCCTCTATGTGAAATGAAGATAATAAAGAATGGATTCATAAAGTTGTTGTAAGGGTTCAAGGGCTTGGAAGTGTCTGGAAGGAACATAGTGTCCCTCCCATAGGCGTTAGCTTTGAGTACAGGTTTAGTCCTCAGGGGACAGGTATTTTGTAATCCCAGCTATGCGGGGCTCCTCCAAGCCCCGCCCCTGCCCCCACTCGGCCTGCCTTCTCCTCACCAGATCCTACCCCAAACCAACTCAGGTTCCTCCCGCCTACCGGGGGGCAGTGGTACTAAAGGCGGCTTTCTGGCCGAAGTAGGTGACGCTCTAGGGAGCAGCAGTGCTTCTCTGTAGCCGGTGGCGGCGGCGCTCTAGCCGAGCTGTGTGCAGGGCAAATTCTCAGTGGTGCGGCCGGCGGGCAGCGATGGCGGCCGTACGCGGCCTGCGAGTGTCGGTGAAGGCAGAGGCCCCGGTGGGTCCGGCTCTGGGGCTTCCGTCCACTGAGGTGGAGTCCAGCTTGGAGCGTGGTGAGCCGGAGCCCATGGAGGTGGAAGAGGGCGAGCTAGAGATCGTGCCAGTGCGGCGCTCCCTAAAGGAATTGATCCCGGTACGGGCGGGGGGCGGGGGCCAAGGAGGAGGTTGCGGAGCGAGTGCCCGAGCGGGTGGGGGCCGGAAGGGGAGGTGGCCGGCGTCCCACCCTGGGAAGTCAGGGGAGTTAGAGGGGGCGCGGGTGATGGGGCCAGAGGAACAGGCTTGAGGAAGACCCGGAGCGGGATAAAGGACGCCAGGGCGCCGGAAATGGGTGTCGAGAGAGCTGGAGGTGGGGAGATCGGGGAGAGAGTTGAGGACAACCAGTCGCTGCCCCTCGGAGCTAGGCTGTGCTAGGGAGTGAGTGAGGAGGGGCTCAGGTTGAGATAAAAGGGGAGCCCCAGGCGAGCACCGAACCTGGAGCGGCCCAGAAGGAGCTGTTCGGTGGCGCCCGCATCCAGGTCTCCCTGCACCGGTGAAGTTGTGCCTGTTAAACATGGCACTCGTTCTATTTCTTCGGAAAAAAGCTGGACTTGACAGCAGCAAACACTGTTACTGTTCTGATTTAAGGGTCGTCTTGCCTCCCCGCATTTCCATTGCTGTATAGCACCTACTCCATAGTCCTAGC